GGGGGGGGGGGGGGGATTCCTGATAACCCAACCCCTGTGCGAGAAGTCTACGTTGACAAGCGGAGGGTTTCGGTTATGAAAACAATTTCGAGCACCTTTTGTAGCAACGCAAACCCTCTCTAGAGTATGGGACGGCAACGACAAGCGTAGCTCAAGGAGCTGGGTGTGCGCCACTTCGCGTTGAAATGGAGCGATATTGTAGAATCTAGGGGAATAGAGGTCGTCTGCGGGGCAGAGTTTGTCGCCGTTGAACTCAATGCAAGGAATGTTGAGAACAAGGACGTACAGGTGTTACATTTCGACCAAAAACAAAATGGAGCCCAGATATCTGATGGTGCATGGTTCACATATGCCTCGACAGAAAAACGAATCTTTGCAGCTGTAGCAATCAACCAATTATTTGTCATTTCGACCCACAACCAGAACTGACACATTGCGGGCAAAACGAGAAAGTAGTGCGACACCCGGTGCAATATCGTGCCAGGAAAGGACAGTAAGACTGTAGGGTGACGTGTTTGCGTTGCTCCAGAATCGACGAACAGCCCGGTAAGGATAAGACAAGGCTTAGACAAATGGTGGTAAAGCTTTCGGGCGGTCGCTGCCTGATGCCGGCAAGACACGCAAGAAGCGGGGCAGCAGCAGAGGTAGGCGGCGGCGCGGCAGACAGGACCCATCGACCGTATGGTTTGAGTACCGTACGCGTTCCCTCCTACAGTTAGGGGTGCCAATCGGGGCGATTTTGGCGGCAAAAAAGTGACCGGTCTATTCGAGGATTTTGAGAAAAAAAAGGGGGGCACGCGGACTTTTTGGTTCTCAAGTCAGCTCTTGAATCATACCGATCAAAGTATACTTTATCCTCCGTACTTTGTATAAGTAGCTCTGCGTCCAGGCAGCGACGTGGCTCTTCATACGTTGCACACATCTGGACACAAGTCCAATAGAGGACACTGCAAGCTCGGTTTATGCTTAAGTTTATAGGGCGGATGAACAACCCAGAAAAACCTACAAATTTCAGCTGTATGGCCAATGCCCGAGGCCGCCTCTGACTTTCTTGAGAAAGCGAGCTTGCAGTGCACCACCTTGGGAGTTAGACCACACAACACAAAAGACCGAACTGGAATCGCTCAAGTCAACAGCGAGATCTACATGTCTGAAAATGGTCTTCCAAGCGGGTCTCCTGCAGCGCCTGTCAGGGAAGCACAGCAGCAAAAAAACCGTAACCAAAAAAAAAAGAGGCGCGTTTTTGGTGGCGGCAGCAGGCGAGCCGCGAAGAACCTCAGGAAAAACCAAGCCAAGTACGAACAGGCGTCGGGGCAGTCTGTGTACGCCGCCTGCGCAGCGTCAAACACACGGCGTGCGGTCGAAAGGGGCGGTGTTGCCGCCGCACAGAATACGCTGACAGAAAAGGAGCATGAGTTGGTCGAAAGTAAACAGCGCGAGGCGGCAAGCACCGCTGAGTGCAGCATGGCTCAGGAGCTCGCGCGCGAGAGCACCGAGGCGCTAAAGGAGGAGAAGGCTAAGAGAGCAGAGGCAGAGCGGTCGCAGCAAGAGGCAGAGCGGAGGAAGCAAGAGGCTGAACGAGACAAGGCGAAGGCGGAGGCGGTGGGCGTAGATGATGGGTGCTTCCTCGCTGCTGCTGTTTTTTTCGCCAGCAGCAGGAGGAGCACTGCTTCCTCCAGCAGGAGGAGTCCGCGCGGTCCCACCGCCCGGCGGCTGTTCGAGTGAGCCACCAGGCATGTTTGCTAGGTTGCGGACGGCGCTAGGGTGCCGCTAGGGTGCCGTGTGCAACCTCCACGGCACGGCGGAACGCGTTCACACACGCTTCGCGCTCGCGGGGCGTCAGGTGTTTTTTGGTTCTGGCGGGGTTCTTCGGAGCGTTCGATGTGATTTTATTGGCTCGAGCGATTTTCCATCTGGAAGATCCAGGACACTTTTCGAAATTTTTTCCTATAGGAAATTTGACCAATTGGCACCCCTAACAGTGGTGCCACCCGTCGAAGAACGCCCGTTCGTCGCCAAAGCTAACAAAGCCAACCCCGTTTCGATAGGTGACGCGACCCTTGCGTTTCGCAGCCCGCGGTGGAATGTAGGTGTTTCGCCTGTTACGCACCCCCGAGGGCAACGCTCAAGATTCAAGCAAATCGAGAAAAACAGGCTTACACGCAACAATAGCATAAAAACCCCCAAGAGCTAAAGGACCATCTGGGAGATTCAAGCAAGACGCATGATCTGTCCTTCCTTCGCAGAAAAACTCCACGGGTCGAAGGAGTAATTACCGGCACGAGCAGTCAACTTAACTCTGCACTGGCCATCAACACTCGAAATTCGAACACGTTCGGTTCAACACTCAAAACTACACAGTACAGCTACAACAATACCAGACCCCTCTAGACCAAAACGCCTGACGCCTGTTGCGAAAGCCAGACGTTTTCATCAAGTACACCTTGTGATAACAGGGGGTTTACGCACACAACCGCACACCTCAATTCAAATCATGAGGCAGGGATCACAGACTGGCAGAGGGACTTCCAACGATAAAAAAAAAACGGCGACCTAGCTGCTTGTTCTGCATAGCGGAGAATCAGTACACTAGTTACAGTTGAAGCAACGACACCCGCAGTTACATATCACGGGGGTTCCATGACGAGCGCTGCAGGTAGGTAGGGAGGGGTGCAGCCAGCGGATCGGGCTGGACCTCCACCATAGAGCGGCTTTTTCCGACCAAAGTTTGGTCTGACGCTGTATCCCTTCCAAGACGTTGGATGAACGACGCGCTCACTCGCCTAAGAACACTAAGCACTTTGAACACAACGAAAACAGGTACGATCTACAGACCTTCCCTCCAAAAGCATGCAACTTACAAGAGTACTAACAAGTTGCTGCGGCCGCCTGTATCACGACCTATAATTAAACCAGCTCTATTTTATATGTTCCTCGACGGGTTTCAACTGTTTGATGGTCGTCGATCGAAACGCGACCTGAGCAAAAATGCCAAATACGAATCCCAGCTGAGAATAATGCCCAATACAACAAAATCGCCGCGTTGGCACACACCAAGAGTAGCCGTTCCCCCTCAGCCGATATCACGTTTCGTTCGGACTTCGCCATATGAAGGGCATGAGGAATATTGTCCCGCAACGTGACAACTTCTGTACTCCAAAACAGCCTGGCGCAACCCATCACCGGGCCGAAAGAGAGCGACAGATGATTCACCGCCAGCCGCGCTGGGGTCGCTAGCACACGTCCCGCCGCTTGGCGGTTGACGATTCTAACCCACCATGCTCCCCCCCATCTCGACCATGAAAAATCCGTCGTGCCCCTCTTGTTCGCTGTTCCTACCACGCAAATACTGCTACTCACACAGTTTTTCACGGCTGGGCGGAATGGACCCGCCGGGGAGCTCACCCTTGGTCTCGGATGCGGGTTTATTTCTTTTTGTCCTCCTTGGACTTGTCCTTCAACGTGTCCTTCGAGTTGTCCTTCGACTTATCTTTCGACTTGTCCTTCGAGTTGTCCTTCGACTTATCTTTCGACTTGTCCTTCAACTTCGACTTATCCTTCGGCATACCTTTCGACATATCCTTCGACTTGTCCTTCGACTTGTCCTTCGACTTGTCCTTCGACATGTCCTTCGACGTATCCTTCGACTTGTCTTTCAACGTGTCCTTCGACTTATCCTTCGGCTTATCTTTCGACTTATCCTTCGACTTGTCCTTCTTACAGCCCTTCTTCGACCTATTCTCAACGCTTACGCCGTCCGACTTGTCGGCCCTCAGCTCTTCGCCGTCCTGGATGGCCATATGACCCTTGGACTTGGAATTCTTGGGCTTCTGGTCAACGCTTGAGAGCTCAAACCCGCTTGATCTGCCGTAAATCGACCTGGACTCTTTGAAATCAGTGGCCTTATACTTGCGGCTCCTCAACTTGGCTACGACTGTCTGATAATAGTCTTCCAGGTTGTCGTCGAGTCCGGCCGCTTCCGCATCCTCAACTGCCTGCCGGCCAGTGCTCAACTTCTCGCTTTCCTTGGCGTCTTTGTCCCCAGGCTTGACCTCCCCAGACCTGCCGCTCTTCTCGAGACTGGGCGTCTCCTCCGGCTCGTGGTTCCGCGTGGATGGCGTCAGCGCCGCCTTCGTCTTCTTCCTAAGCGACGGTTCTAACTCCTTGGTCGTGTCGAGGCGGACCGCGGTGCCTGTCTTGATGGAGTTACCATCGTACCGCACCCACCCAGGTTTCTGGACAACCCATCGCCCAGTGCGGTCGAATGGTACCCCTCGCTCCGGTCCGGCCTTGATCTTTCGCCAGTATTCCGCATCAAAGGTTCGAACCTCGTTCCGCGGTTCTTCGAAAGTCTTGCGCTCTCCCTGGTCATGCGGAGGCGTCCCATCCACGTGCGGCGCGCGCCTGCCGCCATCTTGCCGGTCGGTGGTTTGCTCAAGGGAAGCTGCGCGCTGCACGGCGATTTTCTCACGCAATGCGGCGCGGATGCCCGTCTTACCATCGCCGCCACGTTCTTCCGTCATGCCGTCGTGCTTGCCGGAGCGCTTGTTGCTGCTACCGCCGCTGCTTCGCTCGCCGCCGTCTACACCGCCGCCCTCCTTCCCGCCATCGAAACGCTCGGCGTATTGCTCACGCAAAGCAGTGCGGAGGGCCGTCTCATCATTGCTGCCGCCGCGTTCTTCCTTCATGCCGCAGTCGTGTTTGTCCCCGCCACCGCTGCCGGTGCGCTTGTCGCCGCCTACACCGCCGCCCTCCTTCCCGCCAACTATACGATCGGTGTACTGCTCACGCACATCGGCGCGGAGGCTCTGCTCATCATCGCCGCAGCCTTGTTGTTCTGGCATGCCGTCGTGCTTGCCGGAGCAATTGTTGCTGCTACCGCCGCTGCTGCGCTTGCTGCCGCCTTTACCACCGCCCTCCTTCCCGCCATCGAAAAGCTCGGCGTATTGCTCACGCAAAGCGGCGCGGAGGATCCTCTCATCATCGCCGCCTCCGCGTTCTTCCTTCATGCCGCCGTCGGGTTTGGCGCTGCTACCGCCGCTGCTGCTCTCGCCGCCACCTACACCGCCTCCCTCCTTGATAACACCGTCGTTTTTGTCGTCGCACCGCTTGTTGCTGCTACCGCCGCTGCTGTGCTCGCCTCCGCCTACCTCCTTGAACATCATGCCGACATAGTGTTCCGCGATCTGCGGGACGCACGGCAGCAGGGCGGCGTTGCGTTCCTCTGCCTGCTCAACTCCGACCATGCGGCGGCCTGCAGGCCAGTAGCAGCTCGCAGCCGACGGGAGCGAGGCCCGCGACAGCGAACTTCCACCGACTGTGACAAGGATATAGTACTCCAGGTCGCATCAATCGCCACCCGTCGCTTACTTGCCGAGGCCAACGCGCACAGCTGTTCACTGGTGGAGGCCGGGGTGCCGATGCACGTGGAGAAAAGCACACGAGCACCGGTCTCCTAGCAATAACCAATGCCAGAAAAATACTCTTGCGTCGTACAGGGACATGCCCGGCAACCAGGCAATCGTCACGGAATACTGGTGGGAAAATGAAGTCGGGCTTGACGGGGGGGGGGGG